TGTGAATATATGCGTGGCTCGTAAAACCGAGAGGCTGTGTGCATGATCATTATCGTATACAGGAAGTTGCAAATCAATGGTAATATCATAAGAAATAGCTTGCCATAATTCGGTTATTTGCGATAATTTCTCATGGTTGTGAGCGAACGAATTTAATTTCACACACAACTGCACACGCTTGCGGGATTTTTCATTGGATTCAACGAGGGTATTGAGTTTTCAGTAATATTTGTCTCATATAAAACTAGGAAGCTTTCCATTCTAACAGTTCGGCAAATATAATGAACATCAGACATGTAAATTAATAGATGGGCGAATGCTAACAACTATGTTCTGTCTTGATATCCTAGCGACGTTTCCGTAAACCTCTGATTGGTTTTACATCAGAAGAAATTTAATATCTCTATATGTTTTAGTTTAGTAAAGTAATAACAGTGTTCCGTAGCGTTTCTGATTGTTTTTACAGCAGAAGAAATTTGATATCTCTCTCTATGTTTTAGTTTAGTGAAGTAAAAGTATCTCTCTATTAGTTTAGTGAAGTAAACGCACTGTCCCGTACGTTTCTGTAAACCTCTGCCTGTTTTTCCATCAAAAGAAATTTGATATCGCTATTTGATTTAGTATAGTGAAGTAAAAACAGTGTAAATATCTTGAAAATTGCGTAAGTGTGTTGTTAGGTGTCCGCCTGGATTTTTTGTGATACGATTGGTTACCGGTTAGTCTGCTAATAGATGTTCATTTGGAGTTTATGGAATCGTTGATTGTCTATTTTCCCGGACCGCATACAGTAAATTCCTCGCAGAATCGAATCTGCTGTTGTAACCGTGCTGCTAACTTGTACTTTTCTCTTTGTTCCTCCCCCCTCTTTCTCCCTCTTCCCCCATCTCCCTATCTCTCTCCCTTCTCTATAACCTTCTCTTTCTCTCTGTCTACTTAATGCTAATAAGCTATCTTGTCTAGAGTGTTTTGACAGTATATACAGGCCCTTGATATATCCGCAAGGCGAAGCCTATGCAAGGCAGGTTAGCATAGGTGTAAGCCAAAAATACAGAATTTTGAAACACTAGATTTTATTGGATTTTGAACTGCTTTTGCACGGAGTGATGTGCACAACGACATACCACACAGCCTTCTTGTTCGCGCAGCAAATAGTCACATCGTAAACGTTATATAGTATAGTATAATATTCGTTGATATTAGGAATATATAATAGTGTTAACTGATTGTAGTAAGAATAAGGCAGACATTACTAGTCAAATACGATCTCGATGAACGGACGCATGTGCGCTGTAGTCTCTCGTAATATTATATGGTAATAATATGGTATATAATATGGTAATAATAATATAATAATAATAATAATATAATATGGTATAATATGGTATAATATGGTAATAATATGGTATATGGTATGGTAATAATATGGTAATAATATGGTAATAATATTATATGGTAATATTATATGGTAATATTATGTAGTCTCTCGTAATATATATGGTGCGAGGCTGTTAATAACCACATCGCCCAACATTTAGAAAACAGCTCGTTTACTCGTCAGTTGTCTCTAAATTCTAACTCTAACGTGATTTGTTTTAGCGAGTCACGGCTCCCGCGTTTTTCATCTTGAGCGATATATACTGATTACGATGATGGCGGTCATCTTGAATTTAACTTGCTAATATCAGTGTTGCCTCTTATATATAGACTGCGAAGTTAATTAGTGGCGACGTTTACCGTGACATTTACCGTTCGCCGGAAGCGGACCTTCTTATTAATTCATCGTGTGACGTCAGTGTATAAAATATCAGTGTTTTCTTTCAGCGAAAAATGTCGCATAATGCTAAATTAATAGGCCCAGCGATGGGGGAAACGATCGTAATCACACAGTATGGAGATCGTTTATCGTCGTTCAGCCTGTCGTTATTTCTCGAGCATGTTCATTCTTGCAGCACTGCAGGCCATCACTGAATACGATCACATGCTCTGCGTTAGCTCCAAGAAACGGTCTTTGCTAGGGTTAGGAGACCTAGTATATTGACGTTAATGACGTATATTGACGTTAGTCACACATCCTGGTCGGGTTAGCTCTGCGTGTGCTTTTTCGCTCCTGTGATTTTCCTGAATCCGGCGTTCTTCTCGCCTGTAAGGGGAAATCCACTGAAAATCGGTGCATTTACTGTCGGGTTATAATAATAAGAGAGACCGCATGATGGCGTCTTTTCTGTACTTCACTCTGTCTCGACAGAAACGTACGGAGGTGTACGTGTGGCATTTGAAGCATACAATTGAATCGGTACCATTATCGTAAACGATTTTACGCGCATCCTGTTGTGTGCTATATGTTGCGCGAAACATTTCAGTAGGCTCTGAAAACGTGACATGCGAAAGCGCGTAGCACACGATCATTGTATATTGTTGTTTATCTGCTAAACCTGTGATGCCTTGAACTCGCAATTTTACTTAGCTTTTCAACGTTTAAAGGTCATTTCTGCATGACGCGGTTTTCGTATTCGTTTATATCTTAGTTCATTCATATTCAGAGTCTCAGACGTTAGTTTCAAGAGTCGATTCAATGTGAACAACAGCCATAGAGCAAAAAATGAACTGTTTGATTCAGCCATATAAATACTTTCGTGATCAACCGAGCGACTATAACGGACATACTGCGGTGTGCAGCGCTCGCTGATACACACGCACACACATACACACACACATCGCCCTGGCTTCATAAATAAATATCTTTTGTACCTAAGTATTTCGTATAAATAATTGTTAAGGTAGTGCAGTATATTATTCTATGGGATCAGCTGATTCTGGCCTAGTTCCTGTTAAATTCTGCTTGACTAGTTTAGAAGTTTTGAGTAGGCTAGAAGTTGTAGTTCAAGATAAGAGCGTTAACCAGTGAAATGTTTCAAACGTTGTGAACGTAGACCTTCATGAAATATGCTATACACGCAAAATGTTGCATGGTTTGTGCGAGGGTTTACGTGAAATCTGCTTAAACCGTGCATTTCCTCATAGAAAACTAAAGATAAGACATGAGTTATGATCGCTAGCTTTTCTGGCCATGCTGAACATATCATTTACCGTGCTCAATCATTCACAGAGTTACTCACCAGTGGTTAACGCAACATGGAAATTCGTTCAAATACAGCCGATTTTTGTTTTGCTAATAAAGCCTTCCTGTCTTTCTAATTAATTCACGAGCGCTTTCTTATTTAGAAGCCTCTTCAAAAACGCCGTAGCGCGTGATTAATTAGATAATATAATCAGTCAGCGATGCAGGCAAGCGACTCTAGGAGGAAGAGAGGGAGTGGTGGTGGTGGGGGGAGGCTCATTGTCGCGCTTTGATGAGTAGCCGGGGTGTTCGACATGTTTATCGGTACAACGTCGTGACATTTTCCACAATCGTAGATACAGCTGATCAACATTCACTGTGCTGGCACGGTAAGCACAATAGGAAGCAACATTGTAGGCATCTGTAACGTTACCTTCGCTATCGCTTTATCTCACATCAACGCTAGAGATTTTCGCATAGGTATATGGTATTTACCAATTTCGCATCAAAACCCAATACCATATATATTTCTAATATGGTACTTTATGTACTCTATGGTATTCTAAATCTTCTAGTATGATACTCTTGATATCATATATCGTATT